CACTGGGGCTGATAAAGCCTCTGAGTTGATTCAACAAGATCAGGCACAGCATCTTAGGTCCTCTCTCCCACTAGGTAACTGTTCTCTTAAATTGCTCAAATGGTCACTCGTACTACTTTGTCCCTCTGCTCACAGTACTTGCCAAGCAGTTCCTGGGAATTGTGCAGGTGGTTGCATGAGCTGGAAGCCATCTAAGAACCAATGGAGGCTGAAGGAGGTCTGGGAAAAGACCACATGGCCACAGGGCTGGAGAATCACTCCAGGAAGCTTTAACATCCCAGCAGGGATGTGGCCTTAGAGCAAGTCTTGAGCTGGAGGACACGCAGAATGGCACATGGTTTTGGGAAAGTGGTACCCCTTCACAACGGTAGACCTGGACTCGCTGCTGCTGTCATCTGGGAGCAGTGGTTGAGCATGTTGCAGCTCTGCATACAGAGGCCCTCCAGCCAACCTCCCCAGCTGAGGTCTTGGCAACTCGTTACAGAAGCAGAAACAATGGGTCCCCAAGTTCCCTGAAAGCACAGATCTGTTAGTCAGAAATCCTGATGATGGGTCACTATGGGCCACGGTAGCACCGTGGCCAGGCCAGTAGGAACATTGCAGTGCTGTCCCATGTCCAGGTACCCATTTTGGACTCATAAAGATCTTGGTGGCATTTTTGCCAGAATAGCAGCAGCAAACTACTCACATGCATATATATACACACGTATATGGTTAGCGACACTTTTTTAGGGCTGGAGTTTGGAGCAACTGAGTAGTCTTGTAATCTTCTGTTTACATAACAAATGCAGAATGAGGGAACCACATGGTAGGATCCAAGTAATTGTGTTTACTAAATATGCACAGCATGCAAGGCCAGGCTTAGTTATATATACACACTGCTGCTCCGGGATTTTGGCAGCCTCCGAAACGTAAAAGGCATTGAGTGACTTGAGTTGTACCCTCATCATCAAGCAGGAGTCTTGAACATGGAAAATGCACACCAAACGAAGGCCAAGCTGAACATACGTGCATGCCTAATTCATGGGGCTCAGGAGCAGGGAACAGCTAAATAGAAGTACACCAGAAATGAGCTTTTCCATTGCTGCCTTCCTTACCTTCCAGGGTAAAAGCTGTGCAGATCCAATAGACCTTTGGAGAATTGCACAGCTCTTTATTTTTTCCGAGATACATAGCAAAAAGGGAATTTCTGTTTACGTTCTCACAAAGTGACTGGCTAAATAATTCCAGATGACGGAACTTTCTTCTGTCCTTAAAGCGAAACAAAATCTTAACCTTCACCACTCTCTAAATGATATTAAGATTATGATATGAAATCTTTATTTCAGCATTCAAAAAGTAGTTAATAACAACACAAAGTTGGAAAAATAAACCTAACTCTGCCCCTATGTCCATGTGCGATATAGTCTTGGATTGTATGTTCATAGGGTCTTTCTTTGGGATGTCTTCTGTTTTTCCCTGCAGTTTTTGGGTAACAGCTGTAGCAGTTTAGGTAACAGCTGTAACAGCTTTTAGCATGCTATGTCTCTACGAATTCCTGAAAACTAGTTATATGGAAAGCCTATTATTAACAACATGTAATGTTGTTAATAAGTGAATCAGTGAATTCTGAAAAAATGAGAAGTAGTGATTTTTGTCCACTGTTAGACCACACATTTTTGTAGCCAATTTTCAGCCCGAGGATACAAAGTCACCTTTGCATCTTTTTCTTTGCAGGATGCTGTAAAGGGGGAGCATTTTATCTTCCTTTTCGTTAGCTTGACAGATGAGCTCTTTACCACAGTATTTCACATTAAAAGAAACTTAGGAAAAAACTACTTAAATAAAAGAAAAAGAATCTATGTGAAATTGTTGATTTTTATTTAAAAAGGTGTATTTTCCAAATGAAACAAAATGTCATCATAAGTACAGCTATAATGATTAATGATTACAGGTGTACTTGCTTCTGGTTTTGGACAGGACGGACTGGAAGCTACATATGTCCCTCCCGATATCAGGTACTGTCTAGAATTTCATAATTCAGATAGCATTTCAAAAGGAATATAACATTTTTCTTAAAAAAAAAAGAAGAAAGCTAATTTAAAGTGAAATGCCATTGCACAATATCAGCTGGAAATGGAAAATTCAATGTCAACATTCTTCATCACAGTGATGTACCTGAGTGAAAATATTCATATCTGTTTTACACAATTGAAAATCTGCACACTAACTTCTATATGTTTGAATGTCCCTGGGAGACCTTTTTTTTCCATATATCTGTATTATATATGGCATATGTACTTGAAAAATGTACCTATATACTTCGCGTAGGTATGACAGGAAGTACGGGCATGTACAAATAGCCTGGTGTTGTCTGCAGTCCTGTTTCCAATACCTTCACACTTTTCCAATACCTTCACACTTTTCTGCCAGCACGTCTATCAACAACTGCACACAGTTTTTTCACAAAATATGGGCCATGTTTACATCTGTAGTCTCTCTTTTTACTAACAAATATGTGATAACAGTACTTTTTCCTTCTTTCAAAATTTTGTTACCAAGCCCGCTACATTTCTTTGCCAGGAAAGTATCAGGGCAATTTTAAAAGATCGTGAAAGTGTTAATAGTTTTTGTGTTGTGCTGTGCTTGTCCCGAAGAAGGCACAGACGTCTTCCTTTTCTCACATTTTTCCTTGCTTCTTTCCAGCTTTCTCAGAGTGTTTTCATGAGGCAGACTCTATGTCATCCAATTATTTCCTGAAGAAAACTAGAGAGATAAGCCTTTGAAAACCAAGCCAGGACTTCAAATTTCTCTCACTGTATTAAATCATACTGACCAAAATCATAGAAAGGTATAGAAGTACAAAATTAACAGTGGGACAGAGAGACTGGGAAACGGGGATCCCTGGATGTAATATTACATGAGATGAGACCATCCAATATCAAGCAAATTTATTTGGACAGAGAGGGAATTACTGGGTGTGTAATACTGATTAACTATGTTGGAGAGAGACTTTGCCAAGCAGCGTGTTTTGGTCAGCCTCTTTATAAAGAAGAATAGGAATGTAGGTAAAAGGTTATACATTTAAAAAAAAAAAAAAAAGTGCATCACTCCTTCTGTTAGCTAATCCTCGGGCATCATCTGCATGAACCACAGTAGTACAGTTCATTTCTGGGAAGGCGTCTGTCCAGCTCCCATGACTGAGAGATTTCCATCTTATCCTGCTAAGACGTTTGGGGGAACATTTATTGAAATGAATGAGGCTGGACATAAATGTCTCTGAGATCCTAAGTGTTTAGTGTTGTTTAAACTCCTCACACTGCAAAGACGTAGTATTTTTTAATGCCATATCCAATGAAAAACATTTGCTTGAGGAAAATACGCCAGGTCTCAGGTCAGACTCTGGGAAAAAAAATATATTGTCTTTTAAATCCACAGTCACATCATTTTTCCTTTCCTACTTAGGCACACGGACAATAGTTTGAGACCCAAAAAAGGCTTTTAAAAATGTCTAATACACAAAACATCCCTAATTACATTTCTTCCCAGCATGAGACTTTGTATGTCGCTTCAGCCCAACAAGTCCCAACTCCCAACTTGGACGAACTCTGGAAGTGTTTCTCACTGCTGTGCACTCCTCTCACAAGAGCGTTTGAGCAAGCTATAAAGCAATACACAAACCATCAAGCACTCTGGTGGGGAGGCCTCGTAATTTCAGGTTGTTTAGGAGATGAGTATCAGTGGCTTTAGAGTATCGCCAGCAACCCAGAAAGCAGTTTCAGAAGAGGTTTGTATAAGGCAATAAAGGCACACATCAGCTCTTTAAATAGGCAAGAGGCTCTGGGGAGCATTTCTGGATGACCAGAGAACTGTTTTATCACAAGTTTCTTCAGAAAATCCTCACACGTTTGACTCTGCTTGTGACTATCCTTTGCTTCATCAGGTTATATTTAGACGAGTAATTTATGGCTCTTCCAAGCTATAGCTGTTTGTAGTAAAAGTGAAATTAAATCACCCATTCGAGACTACGGGCTTTGTTAGAAGCATCAAGGGGCTATGATGAAGCAGCTGAGGGAGATGCCCTCCTTTCCCTGCAGGCAGAGCTCTGGGCAGCATTTCGGGGGTTGTCCTGCGCTTGTTTTCTGGGAGACCACTTGGTCCTCAACATGCATCAGAAATCCAGATGCTCAAGTTGCAATCTATGTGACTCTACCTGCATGTATTTTTTTTCCCAATCAATAGCTGAGATGGACTTGGATATTATGGAATATAAAATATTTTTTCAGATGCTGTTCTTTAATTAATGAGGAAAAGACTGTCATTGAGCAAGTGCAGCCTGATGAGTAAGCGAGTAAAACATGCCCACCTTCGTGCGTGTGAGTTTGGTACTTGGGAGGGCAGGGCAGCTGGAGACCTAGGTGCAGGTCCCCCATGCAGGGCAGGTCGGTGCTCAGTGAATTTTCCAGGGGACTGCACTGCCCGTGTCTGGACTTGGACCCTCCACCTCCCTCCATCCTGGGGGTGCCCCTTGTCCTGGCAGCGCAGGGGTTGCAGGAGCCCGACACACAGCTCCTAGAGCCAGCTGCCTCCAGCCTTTCCATGTGCTGCCTGTTCCAGAAATTCTGACCTGGAATGCAGGAGGCAGCCTAGCTTTGCCCCATGTTTTTTGATACTTTGAGTGGATACACAGTCCTTTCGATTTGCAGAAATCTCTGCTGTGTCACTAATCACCAGTTTTGAGGGGAACCCGTTAGGGACATCACTAAGGGAAGAAGATTGACATTGCAGCATGTTAAAAGTCAAAAGGTTCTCCCCAGTAAAATGATAGAGCAATGCTTAAACTAATAGTGCCTTGACATCTCCCTTCTAATGCCATATACGTTACCTACTGTGGGAATGATACTCACTCAGAGTATGTATTTTGGCTAGCCAAAGTCCTGTGTGCCTTAATATTATTTATATCTGTTTTTCTCCAGTGCTCTTTTTGGTGGGGATTGTGATTTATGTTGTTCTTATTCCAGCTACGCAGGAGATTCTTTGACGGATTACAATTTCGGCAAACTCCAACTCGAGGAGAAGAATGACAGCTAAGAGACTTAAACCAGACTTTTCACCATCCTGGAAAGGAACTGGCTGCCAGGATTTGGAGTTTTTTTAATACTCTACCTCCCTCTGCTGTTGTCAGCGAGAAGTTCCTCGACAATGGGAAATCATGTTCTTGCGGCTTCGATTTCCGTGCTCTCGCTCCTGGCAATGATGGGAGATGGGGACAGTAAAACAGACAGTTCCTTCATGATCGACTCCGACCCCAGCCGCTGTATGAGGCATCACTACGTCGACTCCATCAGCCATCCTCTGTACAAGTGTAGCTCGAAGGTAAGGACTTCCCTCACTCCCTCGCAGCAGGTTGCTGCATGGGCAGAGTTGTTAAAACGAGCCATTTTGGGCCATTTTTCCCTGCACAAATTCCTTCCTACCAAAATCCGGCTGCCGAGACATACAGATGTAGAGACATCTGTGTGTGTACATCAGAACTGGGGCTGGAGAGAATGGTGCTTGAATCTCTTTCCACTTTTTCAAAAGGAAAAACACACTATGATGGTAAAGCTAACATGCAGGAAATGATAGGAGTCAAAGGAGCACGTCGGAGTCTCAGCTACCAGTACCAAGGAGATGGGCTAGTTTGGAAGTTTAGATCATCCCAGTCAGCCTTCTCCTTCAAGTGAGTCCTTAATCCAGAGTATGTAAACATGTAACTTTCGAGATGACGTACTGAGATAAAGAATCAAGCTGTAAGATGGTACTGAAAAAAGAATTCAAAAACATTGCTAATTATTTTCCCTACCTAGTTTCAAAGCCTTTGTTTTCATACAGAATGACAATTGGGTGTTTACTGTAGGGCTTAAGAGCAGACGGAAATATGAGATTGCCTTTCATCGGAGATTCCAAGCCTGAAAAATTTTGTGTCAAAATGGTTTAGCAGCCACGCATGTAGCCTAAAGTCATTTATTTCATTGCATGGAGAAAAAGAATGGGGAGAAGCAATGGGAAAATCTTTGCTGGTCCCTTTTGTCTTGTCCTAGTTTGCTTTGGCTGAGTTAACCCAGCGTGTATTCACATGTACGATCTCCACCTGGACCATGCCTCTGTCTCGCAGGAAGCAGCTTTACCTTACGCACCCGCAGGCCTGGCTTATCGAAAGGCAACAGCCGCCACCACCAATGCTTTTACCAGCCCTGTCTTGGGTGAGAGTGCCATGGGAGGCAAGTGGGAGATCAGAGGCTTCTGCCTTACTGCTCTTGAGTTCAAACAGTAAAATTGCGCATTACTTGTGATTCAGGAGAGATCTCTTGTTTTGCTCTTAGCCTAGGCTGGACCTTCTTACCATCTGGGAAACATTCAGCACTAACACACAGAACTGCAGGGGCGCATCTGTTTGTGCAATATTGATTTTATTGCAGTTGACTCCAATGTGAGGCAAAGGTGAAAAGCGTGGGTGGAGTGGATGGTTTTTATGTCCTGGTATGGAGGGTGCTACCAGCCCTCCCCTCCCACGGCAGTTCAGATCACGTATTACACCTGAGAAGCCATAGCTATTGCAACGGTTTTGTTCCGGAGGGCAATGCTTCATTCAGCCGGCCCTCGTTCTGAGCTCCCTGCACTGCCAGAGAACAGGAGGAGCTGTGGTACATAACGTAGGCAAGATGGTAGGTAGCCCCCAGAAGCCCTTTGGTCTCCAGCTTTGGATAGTACCCTCCTCTGCCCCTCTACATGCAGAAAAGCAAATGAGTAAGAATTACTGACTTCACTAAGGCGGTGAGAAATGCAGAGTGCAACTGCCCTGAGTAGGCTGCCTCAGGCAAAAGAGGATAAACACAACAGGTCCCAGACCAGCACCTGAGGCAATTCAGTCATGGAGGATGAGATGGGCCTTCTCCAGTCCGGGGCCAAAGGGCTGCCATGTCTTGGTGTCTCCTTTCCCAGGAGTCATCATCTACCCACCACCGTTCTCTGGCTGCAGAGGGTTCCCACAGCACGTCTTTGCTTCTGTTTGGCTTCAGTGGCCACAACCACGGCCAAATCCTCCTGTCTCAGGGCCAGCTGGGCACTCACCCTGTTGCTGCTGCCCCTGCGCTCCCAACCCCACAGCTCCACACCCTCCTGCCTGCCATGCAGTGAGCCTGTGCCTCATCTCCAGCTGTGATTTTCTTCTGTGCTCAGGGCTTCACTTTCTACACAGTTCAAGGAAGGAAGAAAGAAAGGAAGGAAGGAAGGAAGGAAGGAAACCCAACAACAATTCAACTTCTTAACATCCCTAATGAGAAAAAAAAGCAACCAAGCCTTTAGGAGTGGAACTGATGGAAATGAGAACAGGGAAGGAACTGTAATGAAAACCATATTATCTCAAAACTGCTCTTTGAGAAAAAAGCTGTTGACATAAACATTTGTAACCCTGACTGCAAAAATGTCAGTGGCTTTTTTTAAATCAAGCCTTTAATGGAAATCATGTTTGAAAATACTATCACATCTCTTGGCTTCCCGAATTCCACAATAGTTTCAAGAACAGTTTTTTAACAATACTACAAGTTGTATGGACTTTCTCATGAAGCAGAAAATGAAAACAGTTTCCATACAAAGTGAAATAACTTTGACATTTCCTAGAAAACTTGTCTCTGTTAAATCGAGCTTTTTTTTAAAGGTCTCAGGGATCTGAATCATCCTGCTAGACATTATGGCTTCTGTTCTGGATCTTACATATAAACACAGACCAATATTAGACTTGCTAATGAAAATTAGATGCAATGTCTATTTCTATATATATTGTGACAAATATAAACAAGTCAAAAAAAGGAAGGTTCTGCTGGAGTAGCTGTGGAAACTGTGGTACCTCTTGTTTCCACTGAGTTTCCATTGTGAAGCTTGGACTGATGATTGATGTCAAGCAGAGACTTTGCCCATTTTTGGCGTGATATATTGGTTCCACTGAGCCATCTTTTTTCACTCTGTATGTTTTCCCTTTTAGTGAAGTATAGAATTACAGAAGTTAAAAACAGCTTCAGAAATTAGAAGACATATTACGTTTGCTGTCCGTCTTGGTTAAAAACGGATTATGTCCACTGTGCTTCTCTGTGGAGGTGGCCAATTGTACCCACATGGGAAGTAGTTTTGTTACGTTTGGAAACATCCATCCAATATAATTTAATCATTAAAATCCCTCTTGCTTGTGACCTCAGACAGATTTCGAAAACAGCTTTCCAAAGCCTTCGGAAACATAGTCCATTATAGTAACAGGATGTATAAAAGAGACACAAAAGAGGGATGGAAGAAGGTAATTTGTTCCTGAAAAACAGTGTTTTCCTTTGACTTCAAGGAAATGTTTGTGTCAGCTCATGAAGTATTGCCTTTCCTGACCATATTGGATTCTGCCTGACCTCTGTCATGGAGACCCACTGGTCTTCCCTATGCCGCTGCAACCAGAGCCTCCTAAATTACAGTATTGGCTGTCACAAGTGCTTCCTCCAGATGTGCCAGAAGAGTGCTACCACTGACAGTCTTGCACTGAAGAATCTGGCCCAGAGAGACACGGACCAGATGAAGAAAGATTTAGCAAATGTTTGAAGACGTTTGCTCATGAGGTAGCTCAGGAGATTTTCAGTCATGCCTGCTCGCAGCCAGGCCACTGATACTGTGTGAAAGTCTATTCTCACACATCTCAGCCCATCTGCTTTTGGGTCTCAGCTTGCTGCTGAAGAGGACTACAAATGCTGTTAATATCAAACCAGTTCAGAACTGCCAAATTTCCAGAACACGTCTCTAATGACCAGAGTCAAATATCGCCTCGGATTCAGGTTGCTCTCTTTCGTGGCCGTTCAGATACCTGTGAGACTGCTGGCTTTAAGTAAGAAACTCTATTTTTCCCTAGCTGCTCGTACACATGAGACCGGCTGCGGTTCCCACATTGTAGTGCGCTGTGCTTCCGGATCCAGCCTCACAAGGTGACACGCAGAGGCTCACATGTGCGGGGGACAAGGGGAGCCAAGAGGCACATGTATCAGGTTATAAAATACCCACACGTTTTTACTATATATACACCCACTGTATTACTGTGCTATGCCATCATACCATTACTAATTATTTAGGTGATAATCTCTATTGCTCTATAGCATACAATGCAATAAGCAGCTGGTGTGATTGATGAAATGGCAAAGTAAAGCTTTTAAAGTACATGCTATTTCCAGCTCATTTGCACACCTGCCAAAATCCACTGGTGCTGTTCAGGATTTACGAGTAGGAGGAGATTAAATTTTACTGAGGACTACAGGTTACTCCAGAAGTTTAGAAAGCTATCAAAATGTGAAATCTGAAAATCTTTTGTCCTGAAAGGGTGACTTGATATCCATGGTGTGGTTCCATTTGTAGAAGTTTACTCCGTAATGCAAAACCAGAGCATAAAACCAAGACTCTGTGTAATTTTCCATGATATGAATACTGACCGTACTCTTACGAAAAACTAAGTAGCTAGCAAAATTTGAGATTAGAATCAGTGTCTCATCAGAATAAAACATGTTTTTAAAGACAAGGCTTGCTAAGCAATTATAAATGCAGTTGCACATTGAAGAAATATTGACTGGTTTTGCATTAGAAACCTTGCTGTTCATAAGAAATGCATTTAGATACAGATATTGGCACATCAGATAATTCTGCCCTATAATTACAGCTCTTAATCCTGTTCCCTGGGGGTTGGTTTGGTTTTTTTCCAACATTTCTGAAAGTACCTGCAGATACAGAGCAGATGCGTGCCATGAAAAGTCCTTAGGGTAACAGTACCAGAAGTGACTAACTGTTCCAGCTCCAGAAGCGCCAACCGTTAGAAGTCACCTGCACCTTGCAGCAATGTGTTCTGTCACATTTGGGCTGAAATCACAGAATCAGAGAATTGTTGGTTGGAAGGGACACTGGAGATCCTCTGAACCTCCCAAAAAGCATCTTGTGGCCATTACACATCCCCCATTGCCACTCCTGAGCAGTGTTTGGACCCGTTGTCTTTGCAGATCCTCTTCAAGCCGTTGTCAGCTGCCATTGGATTGCTCCTCATCCTCCTCTTCAGCCAAACGCGTGGCAATAGCCTGTGACAGAGTGTGCTCACAGTCTTGTGAACTGGTCAAAGGGAGGGACCTAACAAGAGGCGTCAAGATGCCACGATGGAAGCTAACTTTTTAAAATGTCCCCATTTGCTGTCTTTCCTTTGCAATACGGGCGGGGTTAGACACCTTCACCAGCTGCCTACCTGTCACTATGGGAAGTGAGTTTTGTTTACCAGGGGACAAAAATGGATTTTTATCTCACAGTAACGGGTTGATAGCACTGTAACAATTATCCCTCTCCCTGTTCTCGTGTATACTAAAGACACTGGTATTAAGAAGATTGACATAGCTGATACATCTAAAGACAAGGTGTGGCTCAACAGTACAATGAAATTTTCTTCCCACCATATCACTACTAACAGCTGGAGTGAATTTGCTATAAATAGGCAACATCATAGGAAGAGGACCATAAATTTATGCTACAAAATCATGAAGGACAGTAAATTTATTGGAAAGCCACAGAAGCTATCTCCTAATTAAATCAAGGAATAAAATGGTACCAACTTCTGATCATCAGCTCATGAAGACATCTTCCTTGTGATCAGTCTATGTTGACTGAATTGTATGTGTTACTATATTAATATACTTTCAGGCAAATCATTTAGCATGCAAGTACTCTTGGAAGAGCTATTTTTAAGCACTGTAAAAAGTACGTTCTTTGTGGATGATCAGTGCCTTTCCCATGGACACAGGCACTGCTGGTATTTCCTACTTTATACTAGGAATATTCTGTCTTTCTCTCTCACCTTTCTCATGACTGTGACTAAATAGAAAATCAAACATTTGACATACCTGCTTGCACGACTTGGAGATTTGCAGCCGATTGATCATGTGTAGTGAAAGAAGCTCAGTAGTGTTTAATGTTGTAAAATATTTGCTGTGACGTTTGTAGTTATCGTTTTAGATTGCCTGGAAAAAAACACGTGATATGGGCAGCATGGTGAAAATGTAATTTTCTTCCTTGATTATAGTTTAGACTCATGACTGTTTTACTGCCTACTGTCTCACCTGTGTCACTTTTTGACCTTGTCAGGATGATACAATAAGTTGATTTTGAAGTTTGTGTTGATTAATGAGAAATAGCTGATCTGGATTTAAATAATGTTTCATCCCTCATGAAGGTGTAGAGTTTGTTTAAACTTGTCTAACGCTTGTCTGTTATCAAGGTGATAACAGCAGTTAGTAACTACATAATTTCCTGAGCTTTAGAAGATCCTTTCCATATTTTCTGTAGAGTTTAGGAGACTATATCTTCTATCTATATTTCCTCTGCTCAACAAAGGATTGGGAAGGGGAGTAGGTGACACACCATGGGCTTTTCTTCCTTAGTGCCTCCTATTGTGCAAGTTACCTTGCTCTAGTCACAGCTCAGTCAGTGAACTCAGGAGGAGAAAAACCATGGAGCCACCACTGCCTGTGGAAAATCTCACTAGTGAACCCTCATGCTTGGCAAGGAGTTCATCTTGTTTACATTTTCACTGCCTTACACTGTACAGTGCTTTTTATACAGACACAACTGATGCAGTTAACATACGCACACATATAATTGCAAATACATATTCAAGGTGATCTTTGTAAAAGAAGTTAGAAACTTTCTTCTTTAGAAGCAATAAATTGAGCATCTTCTTTACATTTCTATTTCATATGTTGATATATCTAAGCGTTTGAGACATTCACTGGCCTCAAGGACCAGTTCTGAAGATCACTAGTATACACTCAAAACATTGGAAAGCACCCAATCGAAGCAGCAGTCTGGCTGATGATTTAAGGGCTTGGCTGCCACAAACCTGGGGTTGGCAAGTCACGGTTGCAGTCACCGTGCCTGGAAAGCAGGGCTGGTTGTGATCGTTGGGAGCCCGGAGATCAGTTTTCAGAAAACCTGGCCCCGAAGTCCTTATTGGTGTCAGTGCGTGAGACTCCAGGAGGACATTCTCTTTTCCTCCTGCCCATGTTGCCTCCTCTGCTCTCTCAGACACAGCTCAGGGGCAACACACTGCGTGAGGCCGGGTGTCCTCACCGAGGTGGGGAGAGACAGTAAGTGAAGAAAGACCGCTTAGGCTGGAAGGAGGAACCTGTCTGCCGGCGTTCGCTGTGCGCCGACAGCCGCGGGGGCACGTTTCCTAACCCGTCTCACTTCCTTCGCAGATGGTGCTGCTGGCTCGCTGCGAAGGGCGCTGCAGCCAGACGTCGCGCTCGGAGCCCATGGTTTCCTTCAGCACTGTCCTGAAGCAGCCTTTCCGCTCCACCTGCCACTGCTGCCGGCCCCAGACCTCCAAGCTGAAGGCCATGCGGTTGCGATGCTCGGGAGGCATGCGGCTCACTGCCACCTACCGCTACATCCTCTCCTGCCACTGCGAGGAGTGCAACTCCTAGAGATGCGCCTGCCACGGCAGCGGGGGACCAGGATGCTGCTGTCCGGGAAGGCTCCCAGGAAGAAACCCGAGGTGAGGCCAACGCTCCCAGCAGACAGTTGCAGCAAGGACAGGACTAACCAGGCTGGATTGGATCTGAGAGCTGAAGCGTAAAACATCCTGCGGTCCTGGATGGTACTGGTACCGAAGTGTGGACTGTGACAAAGGCAAAAGCACAAAGACTTGTTTTTAAGAAGCCTTTCTTTTTTCTTGAAAGGGTATTTTTGTGAGTTTCTTTTTTTTCAGGCTCAGCTCTGACTACAGAGAGGTGCTTTTACCTTAGGCCAAGGGCAGCAGGGGAAAAGAGAGGAAAGTTGGCCGGATGACAGCATCGCACTCTGGGAGTTGGTGTTCAGACAGAGAACGGGCACCAGTTCCCACATACGACCTCTTCACCTATCAAGTTATTCTCAGTCTTCTAGTTATACTGGCCTTCAAAACTGTGCTGCTGGCAAGGGTTATCTGTTACTGATCTAGCAGCCAAGCGCTGGATAACTTTAACTGTGGTTTAGCAGGAATTACAAATAAATCATTGAAAATCGAACTGGATGTGAAATGGTGCGCTGGGATTACCCAGTTCTAACCAGTTGGAATGATTATTTGCAGTGTGGGCATCAGAGTTCAGTGGCCGAGTGACTCCTGAGAAGTGACAGGTCGTGAGACTCATGATTCCCCTCTAAAAGCCTGGAAATGTGACACACCACATCTGTCACAAAAGCTTTTATTCAAACACTAAAAACTAATTGAAGATTAAAATGACATGTACTAAATGGAGTCTTTTCTTAACTTGGGTAGAGCTGTTGATGTACAGAGCCAGAGTCACCAAAATAATGACCAAACCTGGGATTTACTTTCATCTATAGCTCTTAGGCCAATGAGAACCATTTTGCCTTTTAAAGACAGACAATCTCAAACACAGGGGAATCACACTGATGCGCCCATAGGAAGCTCAAGGCAGAGTTTGAATCCCAGCGCTATCCACTGGAGCACAAAGGCTGTGTTTCGATTTACCTAATGATCTGCTACCTGAGGTCCTGGTCGACTCACCATCCAGCTTGGCAGCTGCTCGGGGAAGGCTACAGCTCTTGGCTGGGCCATATGCCCATGCGTCCTTTGTGCGCACACAAGGATGCAGGAGGTTGTGGTGAGGTTGATGTGAGTCCAGACCTCACCCACACACGATGGAGAGGTAGCCAGGGCTACTCTGTAAGAAGCAAGCGAGGCCATCAGCTGTTTTCCCCTGTAGGACCATTGCAGAAAGAAATGCACTGAGGAGCCGAATGAATCGCAGTGATTGACAGGGTGAAAGGATCTCAAAATAACAAATGATCCCAAGTTTTGGTATGGTATTTGTGGAGAATCTCTGTCCCTCCATCATTAATACGAGGTTTTAGGAAGGTTTAGTCAGTCTCTTGTGACTGCAAGGAAACAACATAATGTATTACAGTTCTTATCTCCTTAAATGGCGATATATCCAGTCAGTCAGCAATATGTCTGGGTAAGACATTTTTTTGATAGAAGTCATGAAGATGTTGGGAACATCTTTGCTGGAGTCAGTGCAGTTTCTACCCCTCAGTAGCACCTACATGCATAGTTCCATGGTTATTGTCTGGGACAGGCTGGAGCATCCTGAGGTCGTTTCCAACCTAGAAATCTATGAATCTATGAATCTTCCCTGCACAGCAATGTCTGGCAGGGCCCAATGGTGAGGAGGGGAAGTCCTATCCAAGCCCAGAGTTTGGTCCTTCTATCCAGTGCCATCCAGTCTATCTGCAGCAAACGCCATATGCAGCAGCTCAAGGATGCACACTGAGGTTGCAGGGGGTCCCCAAGGTCTGCCAAGGAGGGCAGCCATCCTGCAGTCTACACAGGCGTTACCGTGGCTGCTCGGGCAAAATCAAATTCCTTTGCCACCTCCTCCTCATGGTGAATATGTATAAGATGCGACGGCAGGCGGGTGACAGCCAGCGGTCTTGTGAGCCAAATCCCAGAGCAGGATGGCTGTTGGTCAGAAGTAGAAAACAACAGGGGGACAAGTACACCTGCAGGCACTAGTTAGAGAGGTTTGTGATACATGGGAAGGACTGTCTCTGTCTTCCAGAGATGACTTGGAGATGGACAGTTTACAACAACGCAGAGCTGTGGGCAAACAAAAGAGTAAATCAAACTGTTAGAAGCTGAGGGGCTCAGATTAAAATGTCAAAACTGGGAGTGATGAGCTCATTAGACACCACTCGTTGTTTCAGCACTGTCAGTCATTCTTTTTACATCTGATGTTTGGTCTGAACATCAAAGGGCAAACAATGGGAGTATAAGCCAAGCATTATCACCAGACTACTTTACATGAAAGATCATATGTGTTCTTTTCCAATTTCTTTCAATCTCCAGCATCTAAAAATCCCATTATCCAAAATGGCACCACCTCCTACCACTAATTATCTATAGAAAATTCCAGTCCTTAACCGAAACATCAGCAATACCTTTGATAAGCAAAGAACCATACTGCAAAATATGCGTGACCTCTAAGCATGGGTATAGAGACTGCTGCACACAAGTGATGCTATGCAGTTACCTAAGGAATAGGGAATGTTTTAAGGGTAACTGCTATATCCAGCATCACCCTACCTGGGTCATGCTGCCACTGGCCTCCTTTGCTGGTGCAAAATGGTATGCCTGAGGGCTGTGACACGAAATTTGGGTGATGTTTTGTGGTGCTCCTTCACAGCCGCAAATAGCTTTACTGGCTGGACAGGATGTAGCAGAGCAGCATAGACTAGATCATGGTCCTCTGGTAAGGAGAGAGGAGGAGGTTGAGCAGAGACCATGCCTGAGCCAATTTAGAAAAAAAGAGAATATTTATAGTGAGAGAAGAGCTTGGCTGGTATTTATTCCCACATCCCCTTGCTATCGCAGTGCCAGAGCTATAATTGCTCAAATTACTCTCACAGAAGACATTCGTGTTTTAACAAAAGCTTTTTTTCCCTCTCACACCGCACATTCCTTCCACTTTTGCTTGGTTCCTCTAATGAAATCATCGCCTTGTGACCGCAAAGGCTGTTGCCAGGCATAAATGTTGAGGTGAATTCAACATTATCTAATTTAACTGTTGAGTCGAATCAATGCACAGAAGTAATGTAACATAAATTAAGAAGGACAAGGCAAAACATACTTGTAAATAGCTAGAAATGGATATTAAAAAATGAACCAAACTTTCAAATCCTCCTTTTAGCTTTGTCAGGCAATCTTCATATTAACACTTAAGAAAAGGAGGAGCTATTCTTCAAAACCCAGTGCCCCAAAGTCTGTTAAAAATCTCTTTTTTGATACTTTTTAATCAGTATTTTAGGCAACCAAATGCTAAATGAAGAACACTAGTGCTACCTGTGTTAAAATTCAGGAGGCATATTGAAGCAAAACAAAATGAGGATTCAGGTGAAAACTACAGGATTTGGCTCACGGTGAGAACGAGTCTAAATGCTACTTGGAGGTGAAATGGCTTCCTGGTTTCGTAGCCTGACACCACTCTGGATACTTAAGGTCTGTTTTTCAAGTTAAACTACCATGTAAGCTCTTAAATTGCACAACAGAGAGGACAATGTCTAGCACCCTCTCACTGGGACTCGAAGGAGATGGCTTTCTACTTTTTTCCCCTCACTGCACTTGATCCTTCAGGCACTGTCTTCCCTCACAGAAAAGCTGGTTCAGCTGTGACCATCCTATGGTTTGCTCAAGATATGAACTTTCAGTTGTCACCACCCTATGCCCTCTTTTCTTTTGATTAAGTTTCTGAGTCCAGCTTGGCTTACTTTTGAAAGCTGCCCATGCCAGCAGTGGTGATGTTATGTTTCAGCTGGAGTGACTGCACTCATGGAGACCAGCAGGAAACACTAGACCTTTGCTGGTACCCTTTCCTTGTAGGAAAAGCCTTATAATGCCACTGCATTTTGTGCCTATCAGAAATAATCTGTGATTTGCCAGGATAAAGAGCCTATGACCTAGCAAATTTTAATTGTTCTGCTCCCAGCTTCAGTGAGACAGTTAAGTGCTTAAAGCTGCATAGATACAAAACCAGGTTGCTGATTCGAGACTTATATTGGATGGACAGTCACACTCAAAGAGTTGAGGTCAACAGCTCAATGTCCGAATGGAGGCCAGTGACAAGTGATGTTCTTCAGGGGTCGGTAATGGGGCTGGTTCTGTTTAACATCTTTGTCAGTGACATGGGCAGTGGAATTGAGTGCCCCCTCAGCAAGTTGGCTGATGACACTAACCTGTGTGGTGTGGTTGACACACTGGAGGGAAGTGATGCCATCCAGAGGGACCTTGTCAGGCTTGAGAGATGGGCCTGTGGGAACCTCACGAAGTTCAACAAGGCCAAGTGCAAGGTCCTGCACGTGGGTCGAGGCAATTCCAAGCACAAGCACCGGCTGAGCGAAGAATAGATTGAGAGCAGCCCTGAGGAGAAGGACTTGGGAGTGTTCATTTAGGAGAAGCTCAACACGAGCCAGCAATGAGTCTTGCAGCCCAGAAAGCCAACCATCTCCTGGGCTGCATCCAAAGAAGAGTGGCCAGCAGGTTGAGGGATGGAATTCTCCCCCTCTACTCTGCTCTCATAAGACCCCACCTGGAATACTGCATTTCAGCTCTGGGGACATGGAGCTGTTGGAGCAGGTCCAGAGGAGGGCCACAAAGATGATCCAAGGGCTCGAGCACCTCTCCTATGAAGACGTGCTGAGAGAGTTGGGGCTTTCAGCCTGAAGAAGAGAAGGCTCTAGGGAGACCTTCTAGCAGCCTTCCAGTACCTAAAGGGGGCCTACAGGAAGCTGGAGAGGGACATTTTACAAGGGCATGTAGTGATAGGACAAGAGGTAATGGCTTTAAACTAAAAGAGTGGAGATTTCTATTAGATCTAAGGCAGAAATTCTTCCCTCTGAGGGTGGTGAGGCACTGGAACAGGTTGCCAAGAGAAGTTGTGGATGCCCAATCCCTGGAAGTGTTCAAGGCAAGGCTGGATGGGGCTTTTAGCAATGGAAGGTGTCCCTGTCCATGGCAGGGAGTTGGAACTAGATGATCTTTAAGATTGCTTCCAACCCAAACTGTTCTATGATTCTACAATTCTATAAAATTGTTAAACTGAAGAACCCACTGATTTCTTGGAGACATCACCATTGACTTCCTTTGCACCTCACCTTACCCTCTGAGCTCGGAGACTTCCTCCAGACAAGAG